GGGGATGGTGACCGTAGGCACAGCGGGTATGGTAAGTGTTGTGGCTATGGGGGGGCGGGAGGTTCTTGGCTTGGGGGGGCTGGCAGGGCTAGTAGCTGGGGCCGGGTCGGACGGGGCGGCTGTGGTTGCAGTTGGGTGGTTGACACGGGGGTTGGGAGGAGGAAAAAGCTAGCCTGGAGGTAAGGGACCTGGAAGTCACTGAAGGGTGTTGTGCCATTCAGCACAAATCCGCCTCAGGAAGGAGAGGCTCGGATGTACTGGTGGTTCAATAGCCAAAGCATCCCAGTGGTTGATTTGCTGGGTTGCCTTGCGCAGCAGGATTTGGCTCACATCGTATTGCTGGCATACGCAATCCAACCAGAAGTTTCCACACTGCATCCCACCACTCTAAATCTGTACCCCCGCCATTGTACAGACCAGCAAGGAATGCTCCAGCATGGCCCTGGCAGCTGGGGAAGTTTTCCCTCAGGAAGAGCAGACAGGGGACAAAATTGAAATTCCTCTTTTTGCTCCAGCTCTGATCATCAAACTAACCAAGCTGGAGTTGGCAGGCATCTGTGCAGCATTCTGTCACTCTGTGTCCATGTCGTCGGGCTTCGGCACTTCCTCGTACCAGTCCGGGAGTACAGCTGGGGGCAGCGGGGGCTGATACTGTCCCTGTTGCTGTTGGCCATTTTGCCTGTCCGCCTCTTGCTGCCAAAGCCATTGTAACTGTTGCTGTTGCTGGTGAAGGATCTGTTGCTGCTGGCAGCACAGCTGTTGTTGCCATTGCAGGTGCAGGTGTTGCAAGATCTGCTGTTGGAGTGCAATTCTGTTCTGATGTTGCTGGTACTGATACTGGGCCAGCTGGGTATTCAACAGCAGCCGAAATTGTTGTTCACACTCCCTCTGCTGCAGGGTTTGTTGTTGCGGGCCGTGCGTGCAGCTTTGCGTTTGGTGCAGCAGCAGCATTTGTTGATGCATCTGAAGCTCTTGCTGTTGTTGGTCGTGGGGCTGAGGCAGTTGCATTTGCTGTTGTTGTTGCAACTGCACATGTTGTCGGTTTTGCATGGCGTGTTGGTACTGTTGCTGTTGGTGCTGTTGCTGGTGGAGCAGCAGGTTCTGATTCAGATGGTCACTGTGGTGTTGCTGCTGTTGGGGGCAGGGCATCAGCTGTTGTTGCTGCTGATGTTGGTTCTGTTGGTCCAGCTGACGCTCCTCTTGTGTGTGCAGCGGATGCTGCTGGTAGGCAGTGTGCATTGTCATCAGGCCATGTTGCTCCTCTAGCACTTGCCGCAGGGGGTGTTGTTGGCACGGGTCGATCTGCTGGGCCTGTTGCTGTGGGCACTGGGCCGGTGGCGGACGTGAGAGGAGTCGCTGGTCCAACTACCCAGGTTGCACTTCCATGTGGTGCAGCCCTTCTTGATTCTCTTCCAGCCCACCATTGCATTCGTGATGTGACTGATGTCGATGACTTTCTTGTCCGAGCGGTCGATCATCCATGCCCACGTCCCCTGGAGGGTGGTCTTGGGGGGGAACTGTCTGTGGCCCCAAATCCTTGGGGAGGGGTAGTGGTAGCACAGCGTTCGGGAGCTGTGCGGGACTTGGCGGATCCCTGACAGAGTGCTTCGATAAGGCCACGTCCTTAATTTTGTTGAGGAGAGAGTTCGCTTTTTGCCACATTTGGTGAGTCTTTTGACTTTTAGTAACTCTCTCGTCAGTCCGTTGTGCGGAGATCGCTTCGTTAGGGGATGGCATTCCCCTCCCCATCCCACTCGCAGTATTGCAGGGGGAGAGGGTGATCGCCCTTTGGCCCTCGTTCATCTGTGCTGTAGCAGCCGTGGCCTGTTCGACCTTGTCAGCCTCTGCCTGTAAGCGGTGTAATATGTCGGCAGCACCAGACCCTGGCTGTTGGAGGGGTTCGCGATGCAGGAATTTAGTCTCTCCTGTCACCTCCGAAACGACCTTAGTCACCTGGTGATGCGGCTGAACTCCGGTGTCTTGGATCGGTAACTACGCCGTGTCTTTCGTTATGGATTGCACCATCTCTTGACGGATTTTGGGCTCCACGGTCTCGTGGGCGGACCCCCCAGGGGATTGACATTGGGTGCTGTCGAGCACCGGCTTGTCCGACTGCTGGGGGCCAGTCTGCGGTAGCTGTGATCCTGCTCCCTCCGCAGGCTGTCGGGACTTTATGATCCCAGGCGTCACCTGTTGTGGCTCAACCTTGCGCTCATCCACTAACAGTACCGGGAGAGTCTCTTCGCAGTGTGGGTCTTGTTTGACCACGGTAGGATGGTTCACCAAGTCTCCAGGCGTTGGCTCATTGCCACACCCGGCGGCTGCCATCAGGGCAACGACCTTTTCATTCTGTGGCAGCTGTACAACAGGGGGGAGTATGCACACAATCTAGCTGAAAACCTGGATTTAGTGATTTCATCCATTTCTTTGGTCTGGATAGCCACCTTGAGAAATGGTCCTATTTTTTGGCTGCAGATTGGGTGTGTGCTCATCAAACGACGGGTTCCAGGGTAGAGGGACAAATTCTGGATATCCATAAGGATGGCGCCCTCGTTAACATCTTTACACTCCGTAAAAACTTCTCTCTATCACAAGAACATCAGGATAAGGTGAAATTTTTTCATCTTGACTCACTCCACAGAGTGAGAGCTTTGTATTGTCCTGTATCTAAAGGATGGACTGTATATGCCCCGAATATTCCCCTACAGGAACTCCCCATGGATCCAGCAGAATGGACCTGGCGTACCAACAGAAGATGCAAGGCTCAGAAATTACAATCTTTATCAGTCAAAGCCTCGTATCGTCTATTACATCCAAAGCTTGATGTTCTAGACATAATACGAGAACGATGGGCCCGACATTTAAATATATACACAGATTTGCTTATGCCAATTAAGTGGTGTCAAGCTTTCAGAGACAAACCTGCTAAATTTGCATCACTGCAATGGCAGATTATTCATCGATGTTTACCAACAAATGAGTGGTTGATTGACCATACCACGCTGGAACAGAGGGGTGTAGCTCTACCGTGGTGTTGTATATGTATGGCAACCTTTCCTAATAGGAGGATTAGAGAGACAATCGAACACATTTTTTTGCAATGCCCTGGGACAAAACTGTGGTGGAGGCGTTGGGATCATGTATGGAACAAATTGACAGGCTTAGATTGGCCTTGGGACTGGAGGGCGATCCTCCTGGGCCATTGGTGTCCTGTACTCATTTCCCTTTCAACCTTTCAACAAAATTTATTTAACATTGGTAGAAAGGCCATTTTATGGGCACTATGGTATATAAGATGTGTAATTACGATGGAAAAGGTAAGGATTGAGGGAAAGGAAATGTCTGAGCTTGTTCAACAATTCATTGAAAGAGAAATAAGATCCCAATGGGACAAGATTAAATCTGGACTTCACACACTACAACAAAAACAGGACATTAAGAAAAGAATTCAAACTTTCACAAAGGACTGGCTGGGTGACTCCTCGAGAGAAAAACTGGGAAAGGTAGAATGGCCAGGAGGGGAAGAAGATGGGAATCTCAAAAGAGATTATGAGATCACCTTCCAGGACTGGTTTAAGGTGCAGGCAGGAGCTACTTTGAGGTCCCCAGAAGCATTTCCAGAACTCTTTCCTCCTTCTGAGCTAGCTTTGGTGGATCTTCTTTGGTTTGGAGGGGGGGAAGGATAACAAGTTTCATTTCTCTTCATTATGTCAACAAATATTTGTGTTCGGAGTAGGCAGAACGGGATGGGTTTTGGAGATTGGGAGCTGCTAGCATTTAAATAAGTATCTGGCGGCCAGCTTCTGACCGAAGAGGCAGCTCTCTCTCTCTCTTTCTGCCACCTCTCTCTTTGATCCATGGTTCAGTAAATTATATGTAAGGGACGCTGGACCCGGTTTCCAGCAGGTGCAGCTCCCCACCAATAGAATGGAGCTAATTAAAAAAAAAAAAAAAAAAAAAAAAAAAAAAAAAAAAAAAAAAGGCAGGGGGAGTAGTTGGTTACTGTGTATCTGTGCACCCGGTTCTGCAATGCCGGTATCTCCTGATTTGTCTGACCCCGAATTTGCTTCTGCTATCAGGGGATGGCCTGGTTGTGTTTTCAGCTTCGCCAGGGGGGTGGGTTTGTTGTGATTGGGTGATGATCCCAACGGGGGGGCCAGGTGGTTCAGGTGCACCCGGGCTCCTGCGTCTGTGTTGTCGATAAGGGCGCTCCCAGCAGGTGTGCGGAGAGGGGCCTGTGTTCCTCGGCGGACCAGGACCAGGCCCGAGGTCTGGTTGTCCGGGCATGAGCCCGGATGTTCTGGGTAGGCGCGACCCTCCTCCAACACTCGCTCAGTCTCCTCTTGGTCCTTATCCCATTGAGCTGCCCGCCCCCCCATGTTTGTGTTGTGGATAAGGGTACCCCCAACAGGTATGCCGGGGGGGGTCTCTGCTCCTTGGCAGAGCAGGGCCAGGCCCGGGGCCTGTCTGTCCAGGTGTGAGGCCGGCTCGTCTGGGCACGCCCGACCCTCCACCACCCGCTTAGTCTCCCCCCGGTCATTGTCCCGTTCAACTTCCTTCTTCAGCGTGTGATTCTTGTGGGGGGGTGCCTGATTCCCACAGTCCGTCTCTGTCTTCTGCGTTGGGGGCACGTCGTGGGAGGGGCACTGCTGTTCCCGGGGGGAGGGTTGTTGTTTAAAGCGAGTTTGAGTGCAGCGGTCTGCTCTTTTGCTTTCTTCCCCGGAGGGAGTCTGCTGTGACCCGGGCGGGCTCTGGTGGCTTGGTTGGGAGGCCGCCACGTGTTTGACCTGTGCTGCTGCCGCTGTGGCAGAGGGTCGGTCTGCAGAGGGTCGGTCTGTATGTCCATGAATCATCGGTCCTTGACGGGTGGTGGCTCTAACCCCTTGCCCCTGTTTCTTGGGTTTATACATTTGATCCCGCCGAATGAGGTATGGGGATCGGGCGTGGGCTGTTGGTATCAGGGCACGGAGGGTGGCTGATGAGGTCGTGCGGTCAGTATGGTCAGTCCCTTTACTCTGGCCAGGGCCGTTTCTTTGGAGCGGCGGCTCTGGGGTAGCCTCCCTTTTTCCTTTTGTTTGGGGTCATTAGTTATGACAACTCTTACCCTGACCAGCACGTCCTCACCAAATGCCGCCCACCTGGCTTCGCCCACCCCCCTGACAACGTTGCCCACGCCGATGCGCACAAACCCGCCCGCTCATGCCCACCCCCGACATCCACGACCCCCATCTCCCCCCGTCTTCCCTAGAACTACAAAGCCCCCCCGATGGGCGGCGCCACTAGTCAATGTGGATATAGATATCCGCTCACTCAATGTCAATGACCTCATTCAAGCAACAACAGATAAGAAAAATGCAATTTGGGATATGATCAAATCCCCGATAACCGGCGGTTGGCCTGATGTGGTGTGCGTTCAAGAAACGCACCTCCAAGACAACCCACAACATGCCAAATCCATTTGGCCCTACATATCCTATTCAGCACCCGCAGTTGAAAGAACGTCGGCGGGGGTGGCGATATGGCTACCGCCGTCCTCAAGACTCAAGCCGGTGTCAGTGCAGCACGACTGCCAGCATGGAAGGTGGATCTGTCTCAAAGTGGCATACGAGGAGGAATAGTTTTACCTTGTCAACGTATATGCCCCCAACGACCCCGTCGACAGGGTTGATATCTGGCTTACCCTGCACCAGCACATGCCATAAGACGCCCCGCTCATAATGGCTGGAGACCTCAACCCTATCTAGGACCTTGCGATGGACCGAAGGTCCACCTCCCAACGATCGGGACCGGCGACACCCTCACTGTCGGGCCTGGGCCCGGACACCCTCATGCTAAGACAACTGATGGCAAATAGGGATTTGGAAGATGCCTACAGAGTGCTTCACCCTGCCCAAAAAGCCTACACATGCCTATCTTCCAAAGGCAACCGGGGCTTGGCCAACTCGCGTATAGACCTCGCCCTCGTATCCAAGGACCTGATGGGCCTGGTTACGACTGCAGAAATAGCCCCAATCAGCCCATGCGAATCCTTCGACCACAGAATGATAACACTGGGTCTCTCCTTCCACACTCATATCAAAAGGGGACCCGAGTTCTATAAATTCAACACCTCGATGCTGCCCCGTGTCAAATTTAAGTTCATGGTGCATGAATTCTGGCAATACTGGCGGTCAAAAAAACCGCAACCGGAAGCACAACAAACGTTCGCATGGTTTAACGATGACATTGCTCAATTGAGAGACATAACCAATAAACTCTCCATTCAGATTGCAAGGGATCGCAAGGCAATCTTCGATCGGCTCATGCAAGAACTCGAAGATTGGGATGCCGAACTCATGAACGA